AAAGACCAAGCGTACTCGGCCGCGAGTAATCCCTAATAATTCCGAGTGATTTACCTTCGATCCTATCTCGCCGGAAGGCCGATTCACCGCGAAATTGTTATCGCACGGTGGACGTCTGGTCGCGTCAGAGAGGACTAGCTGGACAGAACGGACAAAGAAGAAGCGGAAGACAAAACGTTTCGGCCAGGTCGCCGACTGACCCTTGCCCTGGCGGATCCATTAGGGATTCGAACCGGAAACACTTGGGAAAATAACGATAGAGATCTGGCTCGTCGATTCCTCGGGGTATAATAAAATGTAAAATGCAAACAGTCGTCATTTACAGGTGGAAAGTGAAGCATAAAAGACTTAACTTATCAGATTCTCGAGGATTGACACAATATGCGAAACTAAAAAATTCCGAGTGAGCTCTAAAACCGTAACCAAGACCTGACTTGTTAATTTATATTCAAAACAGGGTCCCTGAACTACCCAGTAATATTCTAATCAAAGAACCTCGAATACCACCAAGCAGCTTCAAAACTAGTCAGACTCCTTAACGACCTGCTCGAAGGGCAGAGGGAGGGGGAGGGCAGCTTAGTCGGCGGTTAATGCGAATTTCTTGAGGGGCATTAACTCCCGCAATAAACGCTGGCGAGAAATTAACGGCGAAATCGCGGGAAACTTCTCGCGGAAGAACTATTAAACGAGCAGGGATATCGGTGTTCGCGCGATACAAGTCTTGTCGTTTCCACCAGAAGACCCACCAGATCCTCGAAATCACCCCCTCAACTCGAACGATTATTCCGGTGATTCTGTCGGCGGTGAGAACGACGTCCTCCCCCGCGCACTGGCCTGGGGAGAGACGTTTCGTAGCCGAAGAGTGCAATTGCTTTACTTGAATATTTTAAACCGGTTTTCCAACGACACAGCAGCCACCGAAGGCTTCCAAATATTTGACTGTTTGCCATCGCGAATATTCCATACCCGGCGATTATTTTATTCATCCAAGAATTATATCGAACTGGAAAATTCAAGAAGGTTCGAATGGATAAGAAGCTCGACAGAAATATCGATGAAATTTCCTGACAACGCGGCTCCAGCGCGCGAGATACTCCACCCCGTGAAAGAATGCAACCATAGCTGGCAGGAACAAGTCAGACAATTTATCGTCAGTTTCTCGAGTCGTTTCTTCCGCAAAACAGAAAACGCAGACATCGTTTATGGTTCGATTACGATCCACGTCGTCTCCCTGTCTAAATACCGCGGTTCCAGTTTATCGAAGTTTCGATCCTCTCCTCCGCGAAACTTCTGAGACGAGCAACTCTCTCCCTCGCAGAATAAACATTCAAAGATATAACGAACCCCTACTTCTTTCAGTCATTAAGAATCGAACCTCGAAGATATTAAAGCGAGGAAGATTCCACCAATTGAAATGTTTCTAACTGCTATTGTATACTTAATATCGATATTATTTTGTTCCAGATATTTCCGAGTCCTCCATACCTACAGTAAGTCCCGTAAATATTCGTAACCTCTATATTTATTGAAGAAATTTGTCTAATTTAAACGAATGCTTTATGATTCCAAATAAATTTGTAATTGTAAATATATTTATGATGGAAAATTGATTTGGAAACATGAAGTCTGTCTTTTAAATTCGACAAGTTACTTCGATAAATATAGATGGTAGAAATACTTACGGCCTTAAATACTTACTGACTGTATTTAGAAACTATTAAGAAAAGGGTAAGAATCCAGTAAAGAGGTCCACGAAAATTGTACTCGCAATTTTACTCCGAATCATGAACAAAATCGAGCGAGATTGTCCTTTATTAAGGACGGGGGTGGCTTATGAGCCAATTAACCGTCTGTGTTCCGCGTCGACGAAGACGCGGCTCTTAGGTAAACGCAAATAAGCGAGTTCCGAACGAGGGCGGTTTGACGAGCAGAGAAGCCGAGGATGACAGAAGGAACACGGAGCTTGAAAGGACTCGTAGCCAAGGGCACCGAGGGGCGGATGGGAACGCAGAAAGAAGGATGCAGGCGAGTCGCTCGGTACGGTGGGTTTACATTTAATTAATTAGACGACGGACGAGCATGGCCGAGAGGAAAAACGCGGAAGCTACGCTGACAGTGAAACGCGTTTAAACGGGGCTCTTTCATCTCGCGGAGGGCTGACCGCTCGCGGTGAAAGCCTCGTGCGAAAGAACGCTCACGGAACGAAAGTTGGGAATTTTCGTGGCCAGACTGGCTACACTGAGCCCATATCCGTAACTCTGATTCTCGTCTGGATGGCACCAGTCGGGATACGTTTCAACTTTGCCACGAAACGATCTTTCGGTTGTATGAAAATTACCAGGGTGCGGTTGATATCGCTGAAAGAAACAGACGTCGGATGAATCCATGGAAATTTTAATGAAAAAGGTAGACGATTTAGTTTCGTTAACGCTTCATTTAAATATATCGGTAGCAAGTTCTGTAAAAGCATGGGTAGTTCTGTAACATCACAGAAAACAGAGTTTTCTAAGCGTAGCGAAGTAAAAGTCGTAAAAGAGGAACGATCGCGGAAAGTCCAGCAAAAATTAGAAATTCAACGCAGGCCCGCTTGACCAGGGTCCCCCTATCTCGACCACCCGCCCCCTACGGATAATTACTTACCCTGGCTCGCCTCCAAGCTTCATCCTGAGAACGGCCTCGTAAAACGCAAGCATCGGTGGCATCTCTTAATCCCATAAAGGGGTTGAATCGCAAGCTATAGCCGGACAACCCCTTGGAGCCGTTTTAAGCCAGCCAGGGGGCACTGCATGCGCGGCAACGCGGAACGAGCCGCTCATTATCGTAAACGTAACTCAGCCTCTCTGCCAGGAGGGCCTCGCGAGTTTCTGAAATCGAGCCAGAAGACAGAGATCCAGCGTTCGTTTTTGGATCGGTGCGCCCGAGATAACCGGGCAGGAGAGGTGTTCAATTCACGCAGAGGTCTACTCTGATAACAAAAATCGATTTCAGTAAATGTAATTTAACAGGAACGAATGATAGAATAGAAGGATAAGAGACAAGGTAGAACACTCGGTCGGTATGATTCGATAATGTAGGTAGATAAAGCAGGTTGCACTGTTGATGATGCAGGATACTCTGTTGGTAAATTCTACGGCGAATGAGGGTTCTACGTTGCCGACAGGATGAACTACATTACCGACAATTGACAGTTTCTCACAAGTTCGTTGCGTTTGGGTACAGAGAACGAGACCAAGGGTGTTATCCTCGGAGGCTTTGTCGCGTTACTTCCTGGATGCGAGGGTCGAGATCAGGGTATCTGGAAGAGTGGTCGTTGGATCGTCTTGCAGGATATTTCAGGGGTTTTTTCAAGGTCTCTGTTTCGGGGTGAATTTGAAACGACGAATCTTTTTTTCATGCCAGCTTCACCGTCGAGGTGTTCGTGATATGCCGTGAATCGGTGGACGAAGAAGGGATGGGCTTTTCGGGATCACTTGTCCCGCTAGAAAATAAAAGAAGAACAACATACGATTATACAAACGTATTAGGTTGTCCCGAAAGTTTCTTTCGCGAGTTGCACTCAGTTATTTTATGTGGTCGTGTTTCTATAAATAGACAATCTAATTTCATAGGTATTCACGTTGTAACAGTAACGGAGCAAAATGAATCGTGCACAATTCAGTAATGTAACATAAAACATAAAAATATTGTGCATGTATTACTTATTAATAAAGCGAAAGAAACTTTTGGGACAACCTAATACAACAGACGATACTTTTAAAAATGTATTTATTTCTAGGACTCGACATGCATGAAACACGAAACATGGGAATGTCTCATCGATTGGCTTTTCAATTCTACAACTCCATAATTCCTCGCCAATTATGCCCAAAAGGTTTCAGGGGGACTAAAATCACCAAAACGTCGTCATTACACTCGAGCAAATACGAGTTCGTTTAGACGCTCGGCGACGCGGCTCGTCTCGCAAGATCTTTCGCGCGTCGCAAAGGAAACGTCTCGTCTGACTAAATGCCTCTCACGACGAAATTTTCCGTAATTAGAGGGAGGACGGCCTCCTTTGATCTCCCCCCTAGGAGAGCATCGCGAACGAGCCGCGAGAGAGATTGCCTTCGCAGCAATCGATAGCAATAATTCCGTGAAGCGAAATTTCCATAACGAGTGGCTTGATTCTCCGTTTTCCTACCACTGTGGTTTTTAGTCACCGATTTAATGCTGGCTCCACGGGCCAACGAAGTTGAGAATCTAAAAAGAGTAGAATCTAAAAAAGTTTCACGTGTATATCGCGAGAGCAAAAATTCTCCTATTCGGCGAGAAAGTGGAGGGGAGCCATCGAAAAGTTTGGAAACCAGTTTGTCCGGAGGTATTGCGTATCGTTCGGGCGGGAATAGCCTCGAAGAAGGGCGCGGGCAGAAGAGAAACGAGGGTGGCGAAGGAAGCTGTACACGGGGCGGTTTCGAGCCCCGAAAACTGCGCGTTTCACCTGATAAACGTAACTTCTGATACACGTTCCCCTATCTGCGCCCTTCGTTTCTCAGCTTCGTCTCCTCTTCCTTGGGGAAGTTTTTCATGATCTTCGTCGCCCCACGGATTTTCATCCACCGATGGGCGCAACCCTCGTGCCACCGTTCATTCGCGGCCTTTTTAATTCAGGGATCGAATAAGAATTCATTAGAGGATGCGCGTGGAGAGGAGAGGCCTTTCTCTCGGCGTCTTGAACGCGGCAGGGGTTTTAAATAAATTAAAAGTTTACTTTTTTTTCCGTCTTCGGATCTCGGCGATGCGCGCCCTTCGCGATCGAACTTTTCTTTAATTACTCGGCGTTGGGTGGGGGCATCACGAGCCTGAGGAAATCTATTCATCGGCCGGTTTCGTCGTTTGGGAGTTTGAGAAACCTGGAAAATTCCTATGGGGTGCTTTCGAAAGTTCGGACGCGGCCAGATGGTTCCAGAGGCGAGAAGGATGAGTCTTGAAGGACGGAAAATTGGGCGATAATATTCCGACTGATTCCTTGGAGTTGGATGAAAATTGTCCCAACTCTCGTTAATTTATTACGTGTAATACTAAATATAACAATATTACATTCTATGGTAAAAACCAAACTAAGTTATAATAAAAACTACGACAAACTGTATTAGGTCGTGTTACTGTAGAATCTTAAAGTAACAAATAATGATCAATATAATATTAGCTAGCGTCATCTCGGCTCCTGAGGTTCTTTGTTCAAAATTCTTTCTAGGGTACGGCACGTCCATGTTCTTGAGGATCCATTCCTCGAAGAAGAAGATATTTGAATAGACACCCGGGTAGCCAGGAAACGCGCAGCCTTCCCCACCGGAAACCACACCTGTCAAGACTCCGTTACAGATCATGCCACCTCCGGAATCTCCCTAAAAAAATTATTGCAAAACATAAGCCATTGCATTGTGCCGCACGATAAACGATACGATAGTTAAACACGCCAGTTAATTCCTCTGTTCGATAGCCAGAAAAAACTTTCAATTGATTAATTCGCGATGAGTCATCCTCTATCGATAATTCACGTTTCAGTAGTCACCTGGCACGCATCTCTTTGTCCTTCGACGTATCCGGCGCAGAACATCCCTGGCGGCATGTCCGTCACGTTGACCAAAAGAGCTTTGCATTGATTTATGTTCATGACGGGCAGGTCCACGTACATGAGATCGTTGGACACCACTGGGTAGTCCTAGAAAAACAACTTCTACGAAATTCGAGAAAGTAACAAAAGTAACACCGGAAGCTTCGACACTTAGAGATAAGTGTGATACTGTTAATTAGAGGTAACATATTGTAGTGTAGGAAAGCCTTTGAAACAAATTAATTGAGATAAGATAATTATCCAATAAAGGAAGATGAGTAAGAGGAGGCATACAATGTATGACAGTAGCGTCGAACCATTGTCAGGGGAAATGGAAGAAAGAACTTACATATGCCGGGTAGCCCCATCCTGCCACTTGGCAAATCCTTCCAGGTACAGGGTTGTCCGTGGTAAGGGGTGCGACCATAACCTCTTGAGTGAGCTTGAACGGTTCCTTCAGCTGTGGAGTAAAAACTCATGAGAGCTTAAAAATCAATGCTACAGACGATACAAATATACAATTCAATATTTGTCGATTCGAAATTTCTCTACTTCCCGGGTCTGTAAACAAAGAGGACCTTACTTGGAGGAGAGCGATGTCGTTTTGCAAAGTGCTCAGATTGAAATCAGAGTGGACGTAAATCTTCTTTACGCCTCTCGTTTGTCCAGTTGCGGTATTTTGATCGAGTTGGAGCTCTCCTGCGACCACTGAAATCGTCCAGGGAAGTATCTTGCCACCATCCCTGGTAAATGAGAAAATCGCATAAAACGTTTACTAAAATTGTTGGCAAAGTTGACTCCAACCCCTCGCAAATATACTCACATGTACATACAATGTGCAGCTGTGAGTACATAGTACTCATCGATCAATGATCCTCCACAGAAATGTCGATTACTGTAGCTGCGCCTTAGTGACACCTGAAAACGTTCGCAATGGACAGTTCAAACTACTGCTCCGATGTTTCACATCGTCTAGAACTAAAAAATTTGGAAGATGTGGCTGGAACAGTAGGCAAAGCGTACCTGATAAGGGAATTGCCTCAAAGCCGCTTTGGTCCCGTTAACTATGCGCCCTGTCAGTTGGTAGGTGTCCCAGAGATTAAACCAATCATCATCGATCTCGTTGACTAGGGTCGCCTGCGTGAATTCTGAAACTCGGACATAGTTCTATAATCGTGACTATCAATTGTGATTGTATTATTTGAATTACTCCAACTGCAATTGACCCTACAGTGTATTGCCCGTCTGAAACATCCCAGTACTTTCTAATACAGCGGAATTTATCTATCTTATTTTTATTCATCTATTATCGCGAGAAACGATTACGCAAGAAGGTTAAAGTCGATAATTTTCGCACGATTTCGGGTGCAAATATCTGTATCTCTGGCTCCGTTGATATCGACAGCGCGAATCAGTCAAACAAACTTCATGAATCTAAAGAGCACGTGAACGTGTATAGTATGGTTATGCAACGAACGACGAATCGAGAAACACCCTGTAAATAATTAGCGAACGAGCTTTCACTCGCGCGAAGTGGTACGTAATTTTGCTTTATTAATTCAAGTTGCAATTCCAAACAAGCAACAGCTGTTTCGCCTTTACTCGTTGTTCGAAATAAGAGATTTGCTAATTTATGGCTGCCGGTCGGCGTTTTTCACTCACCATTACCGTAGATCAATGTTGGGAAGGCTATTGCTAGCAAAAGAGGAAGCCGCAACATCTTCCTTTCTCTTTCTTAGTACACCAATGTCCAACTTCCAGTAACAATGTCACTGTGTTTCTCCTAAGACCTGTTCACGTACTGACCGCGGCTTCAGTGACAATACATGAAGATACTCGTTATCAGACAAGGAGATATCTAGGGTGATATCGGGTATCTCGTTTCTTTGAGTTAATTGTAACGTGCCTAGTCAAAAATTGCCGTGGTAACAATGACAAATACCAGGGAGAACAATAAATCTTATACATTGTTGCATCGACGTCATGATTTCATCGATTAGGTCACCTAGGTACACCGAGAGAGTATTTGTATACTACGTGCACTCGAGCACATAAACTCTAGGGGTCTTCAAATGTACAAAGTGGTAGATAAAATACATAACAAGTGGGTAGGAAAGTCAATAAAGAAGAATTTCATAATATAGAGAAAGTTTTAAAACGAGAATACGTATATGCTGACTGTTCATTGGAATCGATTCCTCTTTTCGATACGAATCGAAAAGTCCTTTTCCATTTTTCAATTCGAGATTGGCTTACCGAGATACGAGTAATTACCCTTTTCGCGGGGTCGCGTGGGTCCGCATGCGCACAGCTGCGCGGTCAGCTGATCGGGGGTGCAAAATGGCGCGTGCCAGGAGCCACGTTGGCAAACCTTAATCGCTTGCATCCAGGCAACGAGGATTGCAAAATAGAAATGAACTTTTCGATTTAGAGTAAAATCATCCGTGAGAAGTACAGTTATATGCATATTTCAATCGTTACGTACTCCAAGAATTAAAATCGATTAGATCGAGCAATTTATAAAAAGTTTCCCCGCTTTATCGTTGTTTCGTCAAGATATGAAACGAAGATAAGAATGACTCGCTACTCCTCCTTATCGCGCTTAATTTGTTAGCTACTCGTGCGATAAAATCGTACAAATAAATAAGTAGGTACATATATAAATAAATCGTTTTGCTCGGACACGTTACGGTTACCTAGAACAATCAGATTAATTTCTGGAAGCACGGAGATATGAAAGAATCGATGATAGCTGTAATCGATCATCGAGAAAAGTTCCTTTCGATCAAGATTAACTGGTGCTATTTTGATTTTTTATCTGACGGTTGGGAAACGAACGCAGTAACCCAGTTAGCGCTTCGTGGGCCACTTCCATACTGAAACGAGTTTTTGGCACACCTAGCTTGGAATTAGGAGACCGCCGGCAAAACCTTTGTAGACTAATCTTTAATAAACATTGTAATCGAGAATTTCTCGTTTTCGTTTGCTCGCGTCTGCATTTTATGATATTTCACGACTTACAGGTTGACGAACAAAAGAAATTAAGTGCTCGTATCCGAATTATAAAACGTGCGAAAATTATATACGTATATCGAGGGAGGGTGGGCAAAAAAGGGTCGTAGAAGGTTCTCACCTTTACATGCTCTTTTTCAAGTAACGTTTATGGCTACCCTTTGGCGAGCCATAAAATAATCAAGCAGCAATCAGAATCGTAGGCGCATCGTTAACGACTCGTTAATTTCTATCCGCCCCGTGCAATTCGAAACGTCAGAACGCGTTTCCATAATAATCGACGCGATTAATAACTCCCGTTCCACAAAGTTCCGTGATCGATCAAAATCCCGCTAGAGGAATCGCGTTGTATCGTTCCGCGTGAAAGGAACACGTGGCCTAACGATGCACGTGCGTACCGCGAGAGGTTAAAAAAGTATCTTTGGAGGCTGGTAACCGACGCGAAAGGCGGGCATTTGTCCAACCAAGCGCGAATTAACGCCATCAAAAAGCGAGAACGATCCATCTTGGACGCGGCTCGTGATTGAGATGAATTTTACTCCGAAATTCGTTAAATCAGCATACAATAATCTCTTTCCGTTCCAGCATGCCAAGATCTCAAGTTCCTCAAACACGGGAGGCAAGAGATGGGGCCAGAAATCGATAAACAAAACGTGCGATGCGTAAACAACCACTCTGCACGATATTTCCTCGATCCTCGGCGACGTCTGGCCCCCAAACACCAATCTCGGTAAGTAAATTCTCTTCGGCGTAGCCCGAACATTCAGCACCGTGAAATCCACAAGTTTTTCCGTCGATAAGGCTGGGTAACGTAGAACGGATAAGGTAGCTTGATTTGTTGGTAACGCAGAACGCTCTGACGATAAATCCTGCGACTCGGTAGGTAATTTCTGTTAGAGAGCAAATATAATCAGCATTCTTAGATGGCCAAGCATGTAGAATCGATTCACCTGTTCATTCCACTGGCTCGAAAAACCGACGAGTGAGGAGGTTTCCGTCGCAGGAGCTCGATTCCTATTATCGTTTGGATTCTCGCCGGTCGATTGTTAATTAGCATCGCTGCTGGAGGATTACGAAGGCTGGACCGATCGAACGCGACTCCTACCACAGACAACGAACGCCCTGCGGCTCTCGACCGGTCTGTTGGCCACGCGGAGATTGTACATAGGGGTTGTAGGGGCTTGTACGCGGGGTTGCCGGAACAGGGGATGGGTAATGGTGGCCCCTATCAGCTCGGTACACTCTCCTCCTCCGTTCCTCCCGCGCTGCCAGCCCTCGAAAACCCCGTCAGGAGCAACGATATTCCGGTGAGTTACGTCGATGGTACCTGAAACGGCCGCTGGTCGACCACTTTGCATATTGGATACTCGCACATACCACGTCGTTTCGCGTCTTCGATGGACATGTCGATCTCCAATACTGGACGAACGCTTGGCGTGATTCTGGAACCCTATTACTCGCAGGATTTGCCGCTTGGACTGGTTTAGCCGCGAGAAAAGAAGATGCCAGGTGAAATAGGTAGGCGAGAAGACGGAGAACCGACTCGACCGACGCCTCTGTGAAGTGCATATACCTCGGATGCATAGGTACCGTCTGAGTTTGTTGAGTATGTATTCGGCGCAGTTCAAATTCATGTCAAAGAATACATACAGTCGATCCCATCAATATTCGTACCCTCTATGTCCATCGAAGAAGTTTGACTAAATTAATTTGATATTACCAAATGAATGTTTCATTATAAATATGTATACGAACAAGCTTATACAACGTGCACTCGAAAATATCAAACCTGCTGTTTAATTTAAACAAATTTCTTCGATAGACATAGAGGGTACGAATATTTGCAGTATGTATGTAAGCAAACTAGGAAACATCAAATCGAAGAAGAACGAGTCTTACACTTTGTCTGCGCGTCGTTAATTTTCGAAAGAAGCCAAGATGAATTATTATGTTTGCTTTCCTCGCGTTCTCGCTGCGCTAATGTATTCGCGAGGCACATTCGCTCCCCATGCACCCTTTGGGGAGAGACATCCAACAGGATTCCGAGCGGGTGGCTAACGAGGAGGTATACCAAATCGATCGACGAAACTTAAACTCCCCATCGACGTTCCGCGATTCGTTCCCGTTCGCCTTCCAAGTGGCTCTCCCTCTCCTCGTTTCCCCTGCGACTCCTTAGACGACGTCCACCTCCTTCTCCTCCGTCGTTCCAGCGGATCGAAGACGTGCTACCTCCGCTCGGCTCCTTCCAGCCGGATCGCGGAATCATTCTCGATGGAGCCGCGGATAATGTTTATGGGATGTAATGATAAGGAATGCTGCCTCCGGGCGAGCGGCTCCGACCGCCTGGTCGTTGCCGCGGTTCTCTTTCTCTCTCTCTCGGTTGTTATTTAGTTACGGATGTTAAAGGACGTCCCCGTGCCGAGGCGTGTGCGTGACGCAACGAGCAGTCATCGATTCTGCCTCTCGCGAGCACCGTGGAAACTGTTCGCGGCTGAATTGCTGCGTAATCCGATCCGTCTGCGTTTTTTTCAGGGCCGAGGAGCAAGCACCGAGGAGCAAGCACCGTGGAACGACGACGAGATGATTGGTCTGGGTTAACTGGGGAACGCTGATGACGATGACGATATAGCTGGATGTCCTGGAGGAACCTTCGGTAACTCTAACGCCCTCGAAATTACAGTGGTCGTCATTTAGAAGGTAGACACTCTTGTCGTGTAACGTTACGTTTTAGAGGCAACCGTTTTATCGATTTTATGCTTCACAGCGAGTATAACGATCTCGGGTTAGCGAAGATCCCTGGATTTGACGAATTTCAGAGTAGAAAAGTATCTGAATGCGTGTAGAACGAGAAATCAGGCAGGAATAATCGACGGGGTCTCGACGATACCGTCGATGGCGTCTCAATCAGCATGCGTGTCCTGGCTAGAGAAATATCCTGTTAAAAGCGCGGCATTTGTAACGGTTGGCGGAATATATATTCCGCTGGCAGGCTGGCTACGACCTTGACAAAGTGGCGAACTCACGACCCTATTCATCCGGTCCCTTCCCCGCGGGCGCAACAGCGGCGTGGAAAGAGGAAGAAGGTAACCTTGACTGTAGCGCAACCAGTTAAAGGGACGTTCAAGGTCTACCAGACGGTTCCCAGTCCATCGTCTGGCTCTCTGGCTGGCTGGGTTGCTCGGTTGGTCGTTACGCTCCGCCAAGTGGACGACGGATGGAAACAGCCAGAACGGAACCTTTTCCGTTCCCCGTGCAAACACACGGGCCCGTTTTACTTTAGGAACCGGAATAACGAGCGCCGCGTTTCCTTCCCCACTCGTTCCGAGCGATCGAGTGGCGCCGGATCGGGCCTAATTATCGGACGATCGATTTCCATTCGCCCGCCTCCTCGCGAAGACATGGACCTCGCGATCTCGCGGAAAACAGAAACGACGTTGAAAAGATTTCTGGATAGAGGGGACGTGGGAAAGAAAACTTCAAAAACCTGAATTGTAAAACGTTTTTTTCATTTCTGCCTCCTTATTGATGGCACACCTCTCAATTAACCCTTTGTTTGCCTTTCTTCTGCTATCCTCCAGCAACTCGAGATGCTTTATTAGCACTTTATTGCCACGAATGCTAAGTTTAGATTGACTTCGAAGATGTAGCCCGATTGTCATTTCATTGACACTTCGAGCTCTAAAGATTTGCTGCGTGAAGCCTAGTGGTGAGTGAAAGTTACCGTTCGAGTACAAAGGGTTAATATAGGAAAAGATACGAGGTCGAAGCTAGTGCTAGTTTGAAGATGGTATTCTCGAAGCACGAG